GTTAACATGTTTATTATTATATAGTTTAGGTGTTATACTTGGTGTTATACTAAAGTATAACACCTAAACTATATAATAACAAAAATTAATTCTCCCAAAATGTTATACTTGGTAGAAATTGACCAAGTCAATAGTATGATAATGGTCAAATACATTTTGCAAGTTGTCAATCACATTACATGTCTAGTCAATTCATTTAACTCAGCCACCCAAAAAATTGCATTGAGTCTATAAATGACTAATAACATGTTGCAAAATGTGTTATGGAAATGGTCATATGCATTTCGTAAGTTATTAATCACGTTATATATTTAGTAAAATTGTCTGACAATGACTAATAATAAGTTACAAAATACACTATGGAGATAATCTATTTCGTTTCTCAAGTTGTCAATCACATTACATATTTAGTAAAATTGTTTGGAAATTACTAATAACAAGTTACAAAGTGCGTTATGAAATAGTCAAATTCATTTTACAAGTTGTCAATCATGTTATATGTTTAGTAAATTTATCTAGAAATGACTAATAACAGGTTACAAAATGTGTTATGGAAATGGACAAATGCATTTCACAAGTTGTCAATCATATTACATATTATTTGAAAATGACTAATAATAGGTTGTAAAATATATTATGAAAATGAGTATTTTTATTTTGCAAGTGATCAGTCACGATGCATGTTTAGTACCTTTGTTCAATTCAATCCTCTGAGTTTCACCTAGTTTGTAAATAGCTAATAATAGATTGCAAAACACATTGCGAAAATGGTCAAATTCAATTTGAAAGTTACTAATCACTTTGTAAAGCATGTTGATGTTTTTCATTTTATTTTAGTAACAGTTTAGTTTTTTCACCAAGCTTTGCAAATCCTAAATTCTTACCTCATTCCTACTTAATCATTTCACTTATTTATATGACTCATTTATCTTTTTAAATTTTAAAAGGTATTTTTGGGTCTTTTTCCAAAGTTTTATGCAAAGTTTAAGGAGGTTTGTTGTAAACTTTTAAAAAGTCTAAACAGTACAACTTGCGGAGGGTACTAATTATAAAAAAAGATACGGACACATCCCAGGCAACACGCATTAAAGACAAAGCTCTCTGATATTTTCACACGTTGCTTTCCATTCAAGTTCACTTTTTCAAAGAAAAGCTGCTACGCTTGTAAGCACAGGGAGGGAGCTTTGGTTTATTCAATGGAGGGGGCTTTTCATCTGCGCATTACGTTCATTTGGAGCATTGGTGTTCTTGGAATAGAGTTTTGTCATAAAATTTGCCTATCTTTCGAAAACCCCAAGTAAAGCTAATTGGGAGGGGACTTTGAACTATCTATTTTTCTTAATTTAAGGATAAATATGAAATTTTGAGATAAAAAACTAAAGAAATGGAAAAGGAGAGAATCTGTACCCTTCATTTTCTCCCTAATTTTTTAAACAAATTATTTAGGATAGTCAAAGTTGTACGGACCACATCAAGAAAAGAATGGAAAAGTTTAGGCCTAACGTCAGGTTGACTTGCCCGAAGAATAGGGAGGGACCCATCCCAAATAACACGCATTTCTCCATCCAATGCGTCTCATCATTCCTACACTACTTACATGCACATGCAAACATCATCAAGCATATCGCCGGCTTTGCTTCTTTTCTAGGGTCAAAAAGTGATGAATCCCATTCTCATTGTGATTTCCCACGGCATTATGGATTAGTAGGCACTTTAAAAAAATTTTTGGCTCCATATTGTCTCAGAAATATGAAAAAAAAAATATATACTACCTTCCATCTCTAATAATGTAAGAACTAGTTAAAAATTTAATTCGATTATAAATATGAGATCTCAATCTATTATGTTTTTAATATTAATTTATTTTGTTTTCGTGATTGTATATGTTAAAAAGTTATTATCATGGAATAATTCAAATGCATATTACTAATGAGAATATTTTAAAAAAGATAATATCTATTTATTGCAAATAGCTGACTGACATAACTAATTTTTTTAATATTCACAAATTAGTTATCTAGTTCTTATATTAATCACAAGAGATAATATAATATAATGTTATCATACTCTGTTAACAGCCCAATGAATATAAGACACGGCGGACTTTATGCCACACATAACTCCGTGTATGTATGTTCATGCTTTCATCTTTAGTTGTCACCCTGAAAGTATTACAAAAATTTAATTAATAAATAAACACCCCAAATTTTCAAGCCTATGCATATAATATTAAATCATCATTTTTATATCTCCTTAAACTTTATATATATATATAATACCCTAAAACTTCGACTGAATTATATGCATATATCTCTTTAATTAAACTTTTAAGTCATCCATAAATAAATAATAAAAACTTATAGCATGGAAGCTTTATACACAAATGTAAAAGTTCAAGAAGGTTTATTGTAAACTTCTAAAAATTAATAAGGATATTTTTGATGAAAATAAGGTTGAGAAGATTATTTACTTATAACTTAACTTTGGAGATTTGTATATTTTAATGTGAAAGAATGAAAACACAACACCGAAAGACCTTGGTCATTTAACGATCCAAATGCATCCAAAGTAACGAGTATTTTTAGATGGTCAAAAGATTAAAAGGAGCCTTAGAAAAAGAAAAGGAGAAGGGACGTGGGGATGAAGAACATGTCCTTGCAATTGCTTTTCCTTTGATGGTTGAAAATTTAATGTGAAAGAATGAAAACACAACACCGAAAGACCTTGGTCATTGAACAATCCAAATGCATCCAAAGTAATGAGTACTTTTAGATGGTCAAAAGTTTAAAAGTAGCCTTAGAAAGAGAAAAGGAGAAGGGACGTGGGGATGAGGAACATGTCCTTGCTTTTCCTTTGATGGTTGAAAATTTATATGAACAGCAGGTAATAGTATTTAGATGTTGACTGTACTACCTCCCATATTCAATATAAAAACTAATTAATTAATTAAAATAGATTAAGAAAATTTATTAAGTTAGTTTAGTTTGTTAAATTAGTTATTTATAATAAATATGTGTTATCTTCTTTAAAATACTCTTATTAATCATATATATATATTAGCTTGAACAACTATTTGATGAAATCTTTAACACGTGAAACCACTATAATGATTACTTTGAAAACAATAAATAAATATGAGAGACAAAATCAATTGAAGTTTTATATTTAAAACTAATTTCAAAGTTAAACTAATTTTTATATTAAAAACTAGAGTTGGCATGACATAACATCTAGATTTTAATCTCTAGACGACGCGCGTATGAAAATGTTGATTGAAAACGAATCAAATACGCATAATATAGATATTGGGGTGGGTTTATCACAGGGGCTCTACGTGTGTATTTAATTATTAACGGAAAAATCACAGGAGTTCTACGTATCCACGTGTATATTTAATTATTAACCTTAACTCGATTCGATTTGTAAACATAAATAGCTTTATTCGGTTGTAAACCAAACAGAATCGCCTGTTGCTCAGCCCCCAAAAGAAAAAAAACTACCTCTCTGTTTCCTTTGAATATATGGTTATATAATTACTGAAAAAAAAGTTTAATCTTAATTCACTAAGTTTAGATAATCCAAAATAAATGTAATATTTTAACCATAAATTTTTTAAAAAATAATTTTTTATTTAAAATCTATTAGTTAAAATTTTAAATTTAGACTATTAAAATTGTATTTGAATGGTGTAGATTTTATAGTGATGAGTATTGACTCAGGAGGAGCACGTGTAGCACGTCAGCATGAGGTTGAAACTATGAACTAACAAAGACATGCGAGGAGGAGCATGGAGATTTCCGCTTGAGAAATTTGAGCTTTAGGTGGAAGCAGCACTTCCTTAGTTTCACATTCATTTTTCCAAGTCTTTGGTAGTCAGCGACAGCATTATATGTGTCTTTTGCTTCTATTTCATATGATAACATAATTTATGGGAAGGAGTGGCTGAGGGAAGGGGCATGGAAGGAGCAAAGTGGGCCCTCTGCTCATTCCAGTGTCTCTTTTTCTTTCACTTTTTGACAATGTCATCCGCCAATATTTATGATCCGCAAATGGATATATTAATATGTTGGAGGTGAGAAGGCCATCGTTTTTCCACGCAAACGCCATTTTTATTCATCGTTACAGTTTCGGCCCTTTTAATTGGAACATTCACAACCAATTAACAATATTATAATTTGAAAGGGACTGGAATTTAATTATTTTGTTTTAAATATTTATTTATTTTGTTCTCAAACAGTAACCACAATTTCCTCCGACCTCTCCCTCGATCCTTTCACACTTCTTTTCCATATTGTCCGTACGTACTCATCAATAACAACTCCCAATTATATATCTATTTTTAGTGGTTGTTCGAAACATTATAGATCCGCTTGAAGTTTTGTACTGATTGGGAGCGGCCTCCATCAGAACCGGTTGTTGCAGAGTCAATATTAAGTGCGGATGGCATTTCATGCGCCAGAGGATTACTGGCTGTAAAATGGGAAAATATTGTGGGGAAAAAAAGTTGGTTATGCAAGTCAAAGTGATCACTGGCGTGTCGTGGTGAGGGAAGGAGCATGGAAGGAAGAATGTAGACCCTTTTGACCTTTTCTCCAAACAAGCTTTCACAATAAGTAGGGCCCTTAGCTCTCTTCCCTTACTGCAGACAAAGAGAGAGGGAAAGAAGAAGAAAAGAGGAAGATAGAAAAGGAACAGAGAGAAATTGTGAGAAACCTGCCAGAAAATTCTAGTTTCAGCCATCTAATAACACCATCAGGAAGGTAGACACTTGAAAGCTTGTATATATTAAGAATTAGAGTTTAGACACTTCACCTCTAGCTGTAAACCTAGGTCGGTATATCATACATCTACAGCTTCCACTATTTTTGTTTTCCATTTTTTTTTTCCTTTGCAGTCTGATCATCTCATATTTCATTTGTTTGCTTTAGCCAAATGAAATGGTCTAGTTGTGTTGTAGGTCGTAATATTGCTGGTTCTTCAAATTATTGGCTTAAACATTTATGGCAAGTAACCAAGGAGGATCTTCTTCAAACTCTTCCAACTCCAATTCAACCCAAAGAACTTGGAACTATGACATCTTCTTGAGTTTTAGGGGTGAAGACACTCGTAAAGGCTTTACTGACCACTTGTACCATGCACTAAAGAGGAGTGGGTTCAGGGTTTTCAGAGATGATGAAGAACTTGAGAGAGGAGAAGTCATTTCCGAAGAACTCAAACAAGCAATTGAGGATTCTCTGTTTGCAATTGTTGTTCTCTCAAAAAAGTATGCCTCTTCTTCATGGTGTTTACAGGAGCTTGAACATATTCTTCACTCAAGAAACAATTTGTCTCAACAAGTTTTTCCCATATTTTATGATGTAAATCCATCTGATGTACGGCATCAAAGAGAAAGTTTTGCCGAAGCTTTTACTAGGCATCAGAAGCTTCAAAGGGACAATGAGGTCATGAAAAGTTGGAGAGATTCTCTCACGAAGGTTTCAAACTTATCTGGTTGGGATTGCAAGGATCGGTAAGTCCATTTCTCATTAGGTAAAATTATGCACAAATATTTTATATTTATATAATCATTTTATGGAACATATATTGGTCTAGATGCAGTCAGTTAGACTATTTATTTGACATGTATGTGTTCTTAGTTTAAAAATTAAAAAAAATTATTAAGATGAACATTTTAGTTGTAATGCACAATTATACTTCGTATTACAAGTGTCCTCATTCTTTTTATTGTTTATTCAATCATTCTTTCCATTTCTATTTACCACTATTTAACAAATGAGTTTTCACTGCTAACTTTCGTAGAAAAAAGAATTGTAAAACTTTTTTAATACAATTATTTGACATTGATACTATTAGTTATATTGGAGTATTGTGGAATCAACTTTATAGTGCCTAGTCATGTTTTAGTTATGTCGTCATTTATTCTAATAAATTTTGTAGCTATTTTTTTTTTGTATTTGAAGTTAAAAGTTTTAAACTTTAAATTTGTATTTTGTTAATTTTTATTTTTTTCGCATCCACAACTTTTTATCTTTGAACTGAAAAGCTTTAACATCACAACTAAATTAAAGCGCTCATTCAAAAAAAGAACAAGAACTGCATGTCTGGGCTGCTAATAGTGAAATTGTTTCAATGTGTTGATAATCAAAAAGAAAAAGAATATTAACAATTGTAGACATTAGAGAAACAAATATTATACTACCTTCAATCCTAATTATAAAATCTAATTTGTAGGTCTTATAATTATGACCGGAGGTAGTATAATTACAAAATAAATCAAAAGTTATATTTCACATGGCCATTCATACGTTGTTGAAACTTGTAGGTCTGAAGCAGAACTTGTTGACACAGTGGTTGAGGAGCTGTGGACCAAATTACGTCCTAGACTGCCACATTATACTGAAGGACTTATTGGAATTGATAATAAAGTGGAACAACTGGAGCCACTATTGGACATAGGTTCGAATGATGTTCGGTTTGTAGGAATATGGGGCTTAGGGGGTGTTGGGAAGACAACAATTGCTAGGGTTGTTTTTGAGAAATATCGTAGCCAATTTGATATTAGTTGCTTTCTTCACAATGTCAGGGCAGTATCAGAAAAAGATGGTGGTGAGGTTCAGTTACAAAGCCAACTGCTTTCACATCTCAAAATAAGAAACATGGAAATTGAAAACAGCTATGAAGGGAAGAAAATAATCCAAAACCGTTGTTCCAATAAAAAAGTTTTACTTATCCTTGATGATGTTAGTCGTATAGCCCATCTAGAAAATTTGGCTAATAGCCCAAATTGGTTTGGTGCTGGGAGTAGAGTGATCATAACAACTAGGCATTTAGACTTGTTGCGTGGATCACGTGTAGCATATCAACATGAGGTTCAAACTATGGACCCAAATGAAGCCCTTCAACTCTTTTGTCAAAAAGCATTTGGGAGAAGTGAGCCTCAGGAGGATCTATTGGAGCTGTCTAAAATTATTTGTGATTATGCAGGAGGCCTTCCTTTAGCTCTCTCTACTTTGGGCTCCTCTTTCTCTGGAAGAAGTACTGCGCAATGGAAAGATGCTTTGGATATGTTGAAGAAAGATCCGAACAAAGATATTTTCAGGATACTTAAAATAAGTTTTGATGCATTAACCGATACAGAACAAACAATATTTTTAGATATTGCTTGCTTCTTCAATGGTTGCAGTGAAAACAAAATAACAAAAGTATTAGAAAGTTGTGGCTTTGCTGCAAAAATTGGAATAACAACTCTCCAGGAAAAGTCTATGCTAAAGACATATGATGATATTTTAGTGATGCATGATTTGGTGGAACAAATGGGTAGGAAAATTGTTGTGGAGAAGTCTTCTAATTATATTGGAAATCGTAGTAGATTGTGGACTAATGAAGACATTGATAAAGTTATGGAAAACAATTTGGTGAGTATCGATCTTATCTCTTATTGGTTTTAATATATTTTACATCTTATTAATTTCTTGTATAGTAAATTTGATACTATTTTTCTTGTGACCAATGTTGTTTATTAGGGTACAAAAGAAATACAAGGTATGGTTTTGTCCACATCTTGTGACACATATTGGGATCTTGAACCACTTCCAACATTGCATAATGTTGTTTATCAAGGCACAAAAAAAATAGAAGGTATGGTTTCCTCCACATCTTATAAGGCATTTTGGGATCCTAAAGCATTTTTAACATTGCACAACCTCAGATTACTGATGATATCAAGTGACTTTCATCTCCCTCATGGCCTCAAATGTCTTTCTCATGCTTTGAAAGTACTTTATTGGACAAAATATCCTCTAAACACTCTTCCTTCTGGAACCCGACTGCGTGAACTTGTTGATCTTAGAATGCATCATAGCAAATTAAAGAAACTTAGCCTGGTAAGATATCTTATCCTTTGATGTTATTGATAGTGTAATTGATTATGCTAGTTAGCACATTGTGTTTTGTTCAATGATTCTCATATATTTGTTTTTCTAGTGCTCAAGGAATTTGAAGATTTTGGACTTGCGTTATTCCAAAAACTTGATTGAAACTCCTGATTTTTCGGAAATTCCAAACCTCGAAAGATTGGAACTTGAAGGTTGTGAAGAACTTGTTGCCCTTCATGCCTCGATCGGACAACTCAAAATGCTTCAAGCGTTGAATTTGAAAGGTTGCAAAAATCTTAGAGTCTGTTGTCCAAAAAAATTGGAAATGACTGCTCTGAAAGAATTTGTTCTTTCTGGATGTTTTCAAGTAAAATTTCTCCCAGAGTTTGGAGAAAGTATGCAAAATCTTGAAACACTTGATGCTGGGGAGACAAATTTAGTCAAACTTCCTGAGTCACTTGGCTTATTGATTGGTCTTAAGACTTTGAAATTAAGGGCCTGTAAAAATCTTGTTTGCCTTCCTCAAAGCATTCACAATTTGAAACGTCTTGTAGTTATTGATATATCTGGCTGCTCAAAGTTTTCTAGATTGCCAGAAAAGCTGAATGAAATTGAAGGCTTGGAGGAGCTTGACGCAAGTGAAACCAATATAGCAGAGATACCTCCTTCCATTGGTGGTTTAGAGAAACTCAAGAAATTGTCATTTCGTCGGCGCAAAAGGTCGATGTCATACCCCTGGAGCATGATTCTTCCTTGGAGGCATTCAATTTATAACGGCTTAACATTGCCTTCTTCAATGCTGAGAATTGAATCACTGATAGAATTGGATTTAAGCTACTGCAAGATTCATGATGCATTCATTTCAGATGACTGGAGGGGCTTATCATCATTGGAGAGATTAGATCTGAGTGGAAACAATTTTAAGAGTCTACCTGCTGGCTGCATAGCTAATCTTTTGAAATTGAAACATCTGTATTTAAATTCTTGCTCAGAACTTCAGTCACTGACACAGACTCCGCCAAGTTTATGTATCCTGGAGGCAGAAGAATGTGCTTCGTTGGAAACAGTGGGAGGTGAACAATTATCACATTTCTTTGCTTCAATTGACCAAGTATGTATAAATATCCATGTGTCATTATAGAATTCTATGTATTGATTTTGTTTTAAATTATACTTATATGTTCATTGGAAACAGTGGGAGGTGAAAACAACGCCTTGGATGGATGAAACTCTCTCGGTTGACTATTCCTGGACGTGAAATACCATCATGGTTTGAGCATCAAATTGATCTTTGTGTGGATGAATTTGGTTGGGCTTTATTGATGGTAGACATACCTTCTTGGGATGAAATGGTGGGAATTGGATTATGCACTCTGTTAGAAGGTAAGTTTTATTCCACTGAACCCGACCAAGAGAATCGGCTTTGTCGTGGAGTCTTTTTGATTTCGCAGTACATCCCGCAAATCACAAGACGATAAGGGCATTTGATTGTGATGGCGAGAAGAAAAGAAAGTCTTGTCACCTTTGGCTCGGGTTTTGGAAACATACAAAGGAATTCTGTGGTATGCCGGACTTAAGAAAGCACAGTCAGATTCCCTTAATTTTTACTGCCGGCCGTAATAATGCGAAAGTTTCAATGAAGTGTGGATGGCGTGTCATACGCAAAAGTGATTTTGAAAATAGCGGTAGCTCAATAATGAGTCGAAGTCGCATTCCAATATTGGACGAGGCGTGCCAAGTAAGTCACTTCCGTTACACTTATTATTTTCATTTTTATTTCAAGCTACCCCCTTTATCCCTAGTATTTTGTAAACACTTGCCCCACATTATACACACGCTCTTTCAGCCCTAAATATAGCTACCATTGTACCTCATTTATTAGTATTAAGAAAATTAGTGCAATCACTCCTCCGGTCCTTAATATAAGACTCATTTAACTAATTTGATTAGATTAAAGAAATTAGGTAAGTTAGTTAATATAAGAAATGTGACGCATTTTTCTTAAAATACCATAATCATTTTTCTTAATACCTTCTCTTCCTCTTCTACTTGATTATGGTTGAAGGAGTATCCATAAGGGTAATTTAGAGAAAATTGATAAATATGAGAAATGTGTCTTCTATTTAGGACCAAAACCAACTCAACAATTGAGTCATATATTAAGGACCGGAGAAGTAGTTATTTGTAACTAACTTGTCAAATCCTCTTTTACAATTTTTCATAACATTTAGTGAGATGTATTAATTAGTAAATGTTTTTTTTTAAAACCGAAGTGAAAATTAAGCCTTTTCATTTACGAAAAGAAGGTATATAAGTATTAACTAGCTAGGGGTATATTTTGATGTAGGAGAGAAAAGGGATGGATGGGTTCTTATAAAGGATTATTAAAACGAAGTGAGCAAGAGGCTTCTACTTATAAAGGAGTAAATTAAACAAGCAGCTTGTTATATTTAGAAAGTTGGAAAGACGAAAAAGATGAGCATTAGTTAAGGATATAAGTGGGAAAATATGATCAATTTTCAGATATTAACCAATCTGCTTAACTATCTTTTTAACATGTTCAGGCTAGATAGTTTTCTTTTATAGATGGTAGCAAGAGCCCAGAGATGGAGGGAGTGTGCGCGCGCGCGCGCGCGCTCACAAATAATAATTTTCTGCCTGCCTACTTTTTTTTGATACGCTTTTTTTTTTGATACGCTTCTGCCTGCCTACTTTTGCCCGTCCTTAGTTATTGAAATTTAGGGCTCTTTCAATGTTCAATTGATTCACCGAAATGAAGCCATAATTAACGCCCACGCACATATGAGATTAAAAGTAAAATTAAAGTATAGGCGGAAGACGAAAACAAATGATTGTAAACTTACTCTTTAATTTCTGTAAATTGAATGAATGTGTGGCAAAAATGGAGCAACGACGAGAAGTTAACTTGGTTTGTTATCATAAAATGAAAAACAAGCAGTACACAGTAGTTACGTAGATGGTGGCGTGCAACTTAAATTAATGGTAACTAAATAATGTAGCAGCAGCTTAGTTATTTTTGTGATTTGATTGTGTTGTTGTGATGACTACGGTTGCAACAAATTGTGCAGGATCTTCGTATACCTAGCCCCCCATGTTGGCATAGAGTATTTGATAATGCGCTCACTACAGCATTCACGAGATATGGTCCCATAACGCTCCGAGGCGAAGGTAAGTTCCACGCAAACGCGACTAATATATTGCCTGGGCTTGTTTTATGTATTATTCATACTCTACAATAAAAAAAAAATGAATTTCCATATATTAGCCATTTTGGACCAAAAACTGAAGTATTTATTAAATTTTTAAATTATCTTTATTTACAACTTTAGTATTTTTAATTAAAAATATACTTATAAATAAAGCTAAAGTATATACATTAATTAAAAAACAACAAATTAGTAATAAAATTTCTGTTGCTATCAAAAGTAGTGATGAATTATCATCACTAAATATTTTTATTTTGTAAATTTAAAATAACATATGACAATCGTCAGTTGTTGCCATGTATCATGGCGGCAACATACCACCACCTCCTTTATGTCAGGTCACCATGTGTCCATCATTCATATTTATTTTCAAAATAACTATGATTATTATTTTAAAAAATCCTTATTTGAGACTAACAATTACGGTTAAAAGATTAAAAATATACTTTTTTAAAAAATTTTATATAAAAATAAAGAATTAAAAGTATGCTTTAACCTATAAATAATGATAGGCTCCAATTGTCATTTTATTTTTAAGTTACTTCAATGATTTAACTATATATATTTTATATTTTATAATTAGGATTGGAACAATACTTTGATATTTATATGATATTAGTTCTTGACAAAAGGAAGTATCAATACGTTTGCAACCCCCTCCTTTTATTCATGTATCTTTTGTTTTAATAACTTTTAAGCCACGCTAAGGCACGAGGAAATTAAATGTAGTGGAGAGTGTGGATGGAGCTTGATACAAGAATGCTCGAATATGACTAATAGACCTCATTATTTTTTATACATTTCCATGTATAATTTTAGGTTTTTTGGCACTAATTATTAGTTACTTGGGGCATAATTAATGGTAAGTATGCACAAAGGGTAATGAAGTCATTTTAGAGGTTTTATGTGCTTTTTTGTTGTCTGTGTGATTTTCTATGTTAAGATATTTAATCCCTTCGGTTGATTGTGCGTGCAGGTAGTTGCAAGTTATGTGAATTGACGATAAATGCACAAAAATGGCAAGAAGGACCAATCCAGGAAAATGACGACGAAGGATTAGACGAGTAACGCTACGTTTTGCTGAGGTTCTCATATTCGATTCGAGGTTGCATATGTTCAGATTCACCTAACTCTCATCTTTGTTTTGTTTGCCCATTTCTCTCGATCCTCCACCTCTGGTCGTCATCTTCTCCATATCCACCATCTCCATCTTCATCTCTTATCTTCATCGATCACCGTCTCGGTCCTCTCAATTCCACCATCTCCTCTCGTCCTTCGGTTGCAATTCCGTCTTCACTTGCCGAGAGCCATGATTGAGAGTCATGTGAACCTCGGTGAAATGCGGCG